CAGGGAAATACTCCTTGGCCTGGCTGCAGAGTTTTTTGTTGTTGTTGTTGTTGTTGTTAGTGGTGGTGGTCTTTTTGTTTTTGTTTTGTTTTTTAAGAAAGAGGGAAAGCCACAGGCACCAGGAGAGAGCGCGACACCCGGACCTGTATCGGTGGGTGCATCGTGGGCTCTCCCAGCGTGGGGAGGCGAAAGAGTTGCTGGATGGTGCCTCTCCTAGGCGAGTGTGTGCTCTCGGCTCGCGGCGCGGACAGCCGTCTGCTCTTGGTCATTGTCTGGACAGTCCCTGCGGCGGCGGCCCGGGGGGATGCCCCCGCCCGGGTACCTGTGTGTGGTGATGGGCGGCCACAGCCCTGTGCTGCTGTGGCCGCTGCTATATAAGGAATTCCTCGTGCCTTTCGCACCCGGTGGCTCCGTGGGGCTCCCGCGGGGCGTTAAACGACGAGGGTTTTTTTGTTTTGTTTTGTTTTTTAAGAATGGGGGAATAAATGCGCCCCTGATGGCATCGATGTGGCGTCCGGAGAACTAGGAAATCCTGTTTAAGTGGCAACCCTGGCGCGCCCCCCGCGCCCCACCCCCGCCTGGTCTGTCTTGCTCCCTCCCCTCCGGGATGCCAAACGCCAGGTTTTGTAACCTTTCCTGGCAATTTTAGATTTTGTGTGGGATTTCCTGTCTAGAAACAGATAGGAAGATTTTAGGCTGTTCCAAAGAGGTTTCCTCTCTGTTGTAAACACATTTTGAATATATCTGTGCCTACATTAAAATCCCCGCTGCCATGAATGATTTTTCAGTTGTTCAGAAAAACGTTGCGTTTCAGAGAAGCCTGTTCGTTCAGAGGGAAAGGTGTGTAGCGTCATTGTGGAGAGGTGACTGGTTGTGGCAAGGACCCGAGCACAGGCTACTGCAATTGTAATTTCCTGCTTCTAGCGTCAAATAGTGTCTGTTCTACATTGAGCTGTTGCCGCTATTGCTGATGTGGCTTTATGAAAGGTAAGTTGGTTAGAAAAGGGCTGTTCGTTGACCTTACCTTATTTAAAATGTTGATCGCCAGAGAAAGGGGCTTTTCTTGTTGCTGACGACATGTGTGTGACATGTGAGTCTGAACCACCCAGCGTCTGTGCAGCTGCTGTAAACATGTTTACCTGAACAGGAAAGAATGGATTTTTCTCCTAGAGATCCTGTGATATTAATATCACACACATAAGGCATATCAACAGATGACTTAAGGGTGAAAAGCTATCCCGAAAGGTGCTTGAAATCAACAGGAAAGAGATTCTTGATCGCTGCAGCAAATGGCAACTTGTGCAGGTAGAAAAAAGATGGTGTTTAGTTTTCTCCTGCATGTATGTCAGCCCCCTCCTGTTTGCCGCCTTCCTTCTCAGGGGAGGGATTTATTTACCACGTTTGCTGTCAGTGTTCTTCCTTTGTGTTTAATATTAGAAAAACAGATTTGGGGCTCTTGAGCCTGAAATGTCTTGACTGCAGTATGCATTACTCCGAGAAAACAAAAGGTGTGTGAGATAGCGCTGTGCTACCACAGGTATCTTCCATTTTCATCACTTTTGGCTCTCTCTTTGTATTTCTTTTTGTTCTCTAATGCTTTCATCCATCGCTGACCGTTGCAGCCATGCTGTTTGATTTAGCTGCTATTTTTGCAAATTTAAAATGAAGTTATATGCATTGTGTTGTGAAATCTGGGAATAGGTGCTGACTGATATTTCTTAGCAACGCAGTCATATTTAAGTTGCAGTTGTTTGGGGAGAGAATTATCTGGAAAGATATTAACTCTTAAATTTTATTTAAATGAATAAATAGTGGTGTATACAGTAGGAGATAGTAATAGAGATATTTTGTTATTTATGTATAGATTATATTTGTATTCAATTTTTGAAATAAGGTATATAGATTTTACAGCTAAGCCAGCAGCAAAACATTTTTATTTCCTTCCTAGAATGTGTCTGCAGGCTAGGATACTGATGACAGCATCAAAAACTATAACTTAACAAGGGTGTAGCAATTGAGCAGGTTTGGCTAGATCATCAAACCTTCTGTGGGGACAATATGGTAATGATGCTAGCCATCTAAAGGAATGGCATTACAGTTGCTAAAATTGATTTTTCTGTTTATAGTTTAATGCTTTGTTGTATTTAGAAATATTTCTCTTTCCCAAAGTTCTATTCTATGTGATGTTTTCCTTCCCCCTTTTTATTGTTGACAAATGAGCTCTGGCTCCCAGTGACTACATGCTGACTAATTCACCTTAGATGGAATAGCAGGCACATACCTTTCTATCATTAGCACCATTTCTTCTTGCTGTCTTTGGAAACCACCAGTAGAGGATGCTAACAAAAACGACTATTGGTGCAGCATCTTAACCGTCTTGGTCTTCTGTGCTGATCGTGAATCTTCTGTGTCCTTCTGAGTCTTTAAAACAAGCCTAAGTGTCTTCTAGTTTACCGACACTAGAAAGAGGTAGGGATGTGTTCACATGAATGTATTTACAGATTTAAGCTTCAGAATCTTGAAATTGGTGCTTTTTAGTATTTGCTAAAGCACTTATATTAAAAAGTTTGGTTTTAGACTTGAACAAGAAAATGCAGTGGTTACATATATTTATTTTGCATACTTACCACCATACTTTAAAACCTTTTGTTGTTCTGGTTCAAAGTAGGAGTCTTGAAAAACACATTTTCAAATATTAAAGATGTCCATGGTTAGAAGATGCCTATGGTTAAAGAAATTCCAGTTAAGAGATTGACAGTACTATGGTGCTACCCATAGCTTGCATAAACTTAAGACTGTAGATGGGTTGGGTGACTAAAGTAGATGCTAGTTATTTGTTGTTTGGTTGTAGGCTTTGATTTTATCCTCTGTCCTGTAAGTCCCCTTGTTAATGGTGGCCCCTTCTCATACCATGCATAGTAGCTTTTTAGTGAAGAATCCGGTAGCATATTAACTTTGAATTTACCAGTTATAAATTAAGAAATACAAGTTTTTAACAATTTATTAATTTATTATTATATTCAAATAACTACTACTCTAAGCAAACCATGTATACTGAAACGATGACTCTGGCTTACAAATAGTGCGTGAAGTGTAAAGTATTTAGTTATGTTATTGTTTTGTGTTCATCCATATATTTATGTGAGTACAACTATAACCCTTAAGCCTTTCCCTGTCTGTTTTAATGGTAGTTCTAGAAATGCACTGTGGCCCTGCCATATGCAGTAGTCACACTGTTTGTCTTGAATTAAGTAGGATTTACCTGACTTGTCAGGTAAGTCTTTGTGAACTTCCTATGGATTGTGTTTGTAAACACTGCTTTTCATTGCTGACAGGTATCTCTTTAATTTGGTACTGTCCTACTTCATGAGATCTCCATGAATAAGTATAATTCATTTTTTTTCATGAATTAAGGAACTTACTGGAGTTTACAATGTATGAAATTCGAGCATGAAGCAAAACGTCACAAGTATATTGTAAACTGAAAGCATAAGTCATTTGGTTAGATGACCCTGCTATAAAAGCATGAGGAATAACTATTTTTGTTTTGTTACTTTGTCTAGCCTTCATTTTTTTTTAAAGTCAAGTACACCTCTATGTTTATAATTTTAGTGGTTTTGAAATATGAGAAAGTTGTATCAGGAAAATTTCTTAAATGTTCTAAAATAATTATCACAGTGATTTTTTGCCTCTTTTTCTTTCTCCTTTGTAAATCACTTCTAAGCATGTGACTAGAGTCAGATGTAAACATAGATGCAGTATGGTGTGTGGTTATACTGCTAGCTGCTCTTAAGTACTTATATTGAATTGCAGTGATAGGAGAAGATCTGAATTCATGTGCAGAAGCACAGTGAGGCTACAGGATGTCATGAACACAGAAAGAACACTGAAGATTGCAGTAGTTCATATGCTTTGCAGCATGACTGTTAATCTGTTGTTCATGTCTCATAGAGATGCAAGCTAAAATAAAAATTCCTGTGGAAAGAAAATTCAGACAGTTTAAATTAGAAAAGCACCCTCATTGGAGTATATGATAAAATTACTTTCAAAATTATCCTTTGGAAAGGTAGACATTGTACATACTTCTAGGTAATCATGTTATAAACATAAATTATATGTATTATATGTAAAAGTTTTAGTGCACTGTAGTTAAGAATTCAGAGGAGTGGCCCAGTTAACACATAGCAAATATATCTGTTTGTACAGCAGTTTCTGAGGAGGAATGTGAAGTTTTATAACAGGTAAATCTGATCTTTTTGTAGGCATTACCAGGGGAATCATCTTTCCTTTGTATGAGACAGTGTTTTGAGTATTGCATTTCTAAAGGAAGCATCCTTTTTTAAAAAATTATTTTATTTTAAATTATGCATGTCTCTGTATAGGTATATACATGTGTATACAGGTGCCCTAGGAGGCCAGAGGGATTGGGTCCTCTGGAGTTGGCATTACAGGCAGTTGTGAGCTCTTGATGTGGATGCAGGACTGACTGAACATGGGTCTTCTGGAGAGCAGTGAGCACTGTTAACTGCTGAGCCATCTCTACAGCCCCAAAAGGCAGCAGTCCTGGGACATCAGTTTTACTACATAAAGATTCCCCATGTAGAGAGGGCATGTCTGTCTGAGTTTTAAACTTAATAGAGGTGAAGTATACTATTCTTAACCTGAAAGCAAATTACTGATAATATCATAGAATTTATTTATTTATGTATTTATTATTGTTTTGGAGACTGAATCTGGGGCCTCATGCATATTCTGCCATACTCTACCACTGAATTATATCCCTACTCTTTTTAAAGTTTTTAAATTAAAGACAGTGGCTCATTAAGTTGTCCTGGATGGCGTTTAACTTGTGGGCCCTCTGCTTCAGCTCTCTAAGCATCTAGGATTATAGTTGCCAGATCAGCAAGTGCTCTTAACCTCCAAGCCCTCTCTCCAGTTCCCTCTACCTTGTTTTTGAGAGAAGTCTCTCACTGAATCTGGGGTTTACCAATTAATTAGTCTGCCTGGCCTGGGAGCCCTAGGGACACCCTCCCCCAACCCCACCTCTCCACTGTTTGGATTACAGGCATTTCTGACTTTTATGTGTGTGTTGGGTATCCAAACTCAGGTTGTCACAGACAAGTACAACTGAATTAACCATCTTCCCAGCCCACATTTTAGTTATTTCAAATACTCTTAATTGTAGCTTTCTTTTAATGAAATGGGTACCCCCTTCAGATATTTCCATTACTGTTCATGGTCACTAGCATAAATTTGATTTCTCTGTTCATGAATCCATGAATTATTTGAACTCATAGTGTGGGGGCTTGTTACTATTGTTAAATAGATAATATTCAGAGTGTAATTACCTTGATGATTTAAAATTAATCATTCTAATGAAATTTTACACTTTCATTTGAACTTCTGGGATTGAAAACACAGTGCTGACTGACCAATCACTTGACTACTGAACTACACCCCATCCTAACATTCTGATTTTAATGTGAAGGATTGTTTTACTCAGAATCATTTTTTTCAGAAAACTGATGCAGATAAAGTGATATTTGAGATGCTTTGGTGGAAACTACAGAGAGACTTGAACATGTACAGTGCAGTTCCAGACTGATCTGTAATGTGTGGATAGTGTAAGTGAAATCCTTCATGGAGTAGGTGTCAGAACCTGGGCTTAAGTTAACCTTGCTCTCTGGGGAATTCTACAATGGACTGTGAAAGTCACCATCTGTTTTGATAGTTTCTCCTTTTCCCCCTCAACGCTAAGTGCATTCTTAGAAATTTGTTCTACACGTTTTATTATGGTACCATCACAGAGAGCACTCTGTGTTGTGTCACTGGTCAGCACAGTCTTATGGGACCACAACTGGCGATGAAACTTGTCATTGAACACATTTTTATGTGGCACAGGATTATGCTATGCTAATTCCTCCTTACCATTGGTGTATGCTCCAAGACGGGCGCAATGCCCACTACTTGGGCAGTACTGAACACTG